TTAATGCATGAATGAATTAATTAATTGGATCCGGATCACCGCCAAAATGTAATCAATTCTAAGTTACCCCATTTCTGACCTATCCTGAAAATTTTATTAATGAATTAATTAGTTAATTAATTAATTTGATCCAGATCACCACCAAAATGCAATCAATTCTAAGTTACCCGATTTCTAACCTATCCTAAAAATTTTATTAATTAATGAATGAATGAATTAATTAATTGGATCCGGATCACCGCCAAAATCTCATCAATTCTAAGTTAGCCCATTTCAGACGTATCCTGAAAATTTGATGACAATCCGCCCATAACTTTTCCAGTTAGGCTGTACACAAACCCACAAACCCACAAACACACAAACCAACAAACACACGCCGGTGAAAACATAACCTCTGCCAAGCCCCTGGCGGAGGTAAAAATAATGATAATAATGAAGAAGAATAGTAAGGTTATCTTTTATCAATATATTTGTATTTTTTTGAATTTTCTGTGTACATCTTTATGATGCTTGTTTTATCAATATATTTGTATTTTTATGAATTTTCTGTGTACATGTTTTGAAGCAGTGCCATACACTGTAGTCATGAAGAGGGTAGAAATATTACTATACTATATTATTGGTAATTAATTATATGCATAAGTATGTAATCATCTGTTGTCACATCCAGTTGAATGATACTGTCAAGAAATGTTTTAATGATACTGCTAAGATAAATCACTCATCTAGCATTTTTACTGTTTAATTCCGGAAATATAATGAAGAAAAAAAGCTGGTATTAGACTATTAGTAAAGCGCCACGTTGTTCCCACTCCCAATAACTAACTTCAATGATCAATTATTTATTTTCCTAATCGGTTATCTAATCAGTGGCTGCAAATCATCATTACCTTTCGATTATAATCGATTATGTGGACATGAGCAGAGCCTCATGAGCACGTGTGTTTATTCGGTGCAGGACGACATGGCTCGCGTGATGGTGGAATACCCAGAGACCTGTGCTGTTCTTGTGAGAAGACATGGCATCTACGTTTGGGGCGACACCTGGCAGCAGGCGAAAACGATGTGAGTGTATATCATCATTCGGGTTTGTCGGCTTTCCCACAAACGGCGCGTCCTGGTGATGATGTGCGCGAGAGTGTTGAGCGTGTATTGCTCGTAGACTTACATAGCTCGTAGACTTAATAGCTCGTAGACTTACATAGCTCGTAGACTTACATAGCTCGTAGAATTACATAGCTCGTAGACTNAGCATCATGGTAGGAAAAGCCATCACTGTGCCGAAATTGGAGGTCACAGGTCAAAGGTCAATGGGGAACAGGGCATATTTTAGACATTTTCTGAGGACATGGACTGACGGAGCGATTGAAAAACTTTTTTGTTTCAGCGGTGACCTAGCATTTTTATAGCTTTATTGAAAGGACCATGAAATGTAATTTCTGCTGACATGCGAAGAGTAAGTGTCGGATAACCTTTTTACCCTCAAGAGGCGGGTTAAACATGGATTTCTTTACTGTTAGAAAGAATTTGACTGCCGGAATTGCTAGTAGAATCTATACATGCCTGGATGTATGAGGCTACAATTAATGTCACAGTAAAATTTCAAAAGCTAAATTTGCTTGAAGAAAGTTTATGCTCCTTAAATCGTATAATTTCTATGGCATTCTGTAATGTCAGTGCGTTACATGTAACTTAATTATGCCACTGCCAGTGCGTGTGGTTTTGATAGTACGGTGTAGTTTTTGCCTGCGTTAATTAGTTACAGGTGGCAGCTCTCTATTTCGACCTGTAGGCTTGCGTAGGTAAATGGATGAGTGCTTACTAATTCTGTCTTGCAAATAGTTGTTGCTATACTACGTACGATGGGAGCTTTCCATCTTTAATCTTAAGACATTCAATACTATACCCTTACCTACAATACGGAATTCTAACATGGGGTAATGCTAATATCACTACACTTAAACCATTAAATACCACTCATAACACGGTAGCGAAACTCATCACATTTGCCAACGTTAGGGATCACGCAACCCCTTCATTCGCCTCCCTTAAATTATTGAAACTATCGGACCTACACAAGTACGAACTTATATTGTTCATGTACAAATATAAACATGGCATGCCACCGGTACTCTTTAGGGTGTCCGGTACACTCGGTTCACCTGCCAAATCGGTTCGCAGTTGACCGAGTTTACGCGTCTGGAGATCGGTGTGCTCGGTTCGTGAGACAAGTTGACGCGTCTGGAGATCGGTGAGCTCGGTTCGCCAGCTAACTCGTGAGGTGTTTCACACGTCCCAACTCTAATATCTCGTGAATGATTTGAGTTACATTTCTAAAATCCTAGATACATATAAACACATGTCTTAGCTATGGTTTCTGTTAATTTTTAGTTTATTGAAGCACGAATAGTTTAATTAATTACCAGAAATATACGTACGCGCGGTATCGTCATAGGCTAATATACGCGCGGTATCGTCATAGGCTAATATACGCGCGGTATCGTCATATAGGGCCTAGGCTAATATCTCGCGAACGATTTGAGTTTAATTTCTAAAATTCTAGATACATATAAACACATGTCTTAGCTATGGTTTCTGTGAATTTTGAGTATATTAAAGCACAACTAACAGTATATATATATATATATATATATATATATATATATATATA